TTTTGATTCTGACCTCACCTTTCCCTCAGATGATGGTCCTGAGACCTTCTTCCAGCCTGGTAGGGCGCAACCACTACTAATGGCAGGATATTGATTTTAACACATCTAAATGCAAGTTTTGTAACAAAAGCATTCTTTTTTCTCATGTGGATCATGCATATATCCCCTTTTTCAGTCGTTCTTGTTAGGAAAGGACTTTATTAACAGTAGCCCATATCGAGGCCTTTTGTTTACCTTTGTGGCCCGATGGGACATGACTGACTGACTTCCTAAAGAAAGAGGAGGCCTGCATAGATGACTCACTGGTTAAACACTTTCTGTAGAAGCATGAGGTCTAGAGTTTTGAGCCAAAGAGGTGGGCGTGGGAGCCCACTTATCATTCCTCCCCAGGAGGCTCAGAGGGGGATTACCAGAGTAAGTTGGCTAGTGAGACTAGCCAAATTGGCATAATCTGGATTTTATTGAAAGATCAAACTAAGGGAGAGAGTTGAATGGATTATATGGACGAACAACATCAGCCTCTGCCCCCCACATGCACACACACACACCCTTAAATGCCCGTATACACAGAAACGAACACAAATACACATGCACATAGACATCTGAACTGGAAAAAAAGTTAAAATATGAACAAAAGGAAGGGAAAGGAGAAGGGTGGAAATAATATTTGCTTTTTATTCATTCGGCAGCTGTTAACCTTTCTTCTTAGGTTCTCTTCGAGGCTTAGGGAACCCAATGCTGAGCACATTAGAAGACCATTTCACTCTAGGGAGCTGATATCGGGGTGGGGAGGTAGGTAGTGAAGATTAGAGGTCCATATGGTAGGTTCGATAAGTACAGAGAACAGCAGTCAAGGCAGGGGAGAGGAAGGGGGAATGTTTGTGGAGAAAGGAAGTTGACGCTTGACTCACATGAGTAGGGAAGTAGGGAACCTCTCTCTACTGAGAGAGGGGCTCGTAGTATATACTGAAGGGAGCCTTCTGAGGAAGGCAGCCCTGTGACGGAAGGGCGTGTGCTGAGCAGGCCGGGGGCATGTGGGTGAGCACACGGAATGGTTGCTACCGCAAAGACCAGGAGAAAATGGAAGGAAATCAGCGCGTGGGGCTTCTGGCCTCTAGATGATGCTAGGGCTTGGGAGTTCCCTTGATGAAATGGCAGCCAATAGAGGGTGCTGAGTACGGGGATGAAATGGCCTGGCTCCCGACACACCTGTTTTGACTGCCTTCATTAATTGTTGGGGAACAGAGGGAGAAAATGGCAAGCCAAGAAGGAAGTCAATGCCACAGTGACTGATCACAGTATGGACGGGGAGGGGGTGGGGAAACAGTGAGATTCTAGGTATAATGTGTTTGTAGAACTAGCAGGATTTGCGAAAGAATGAACTTGGATGTGAAAGAAAGAGAAGGGTTGAAGATGGAGCAAAGTCTTGGGTCTGAGGTATAGAAAGAAGAACGGGATTGCTGTTGAATAGCTGTTCGGTGAAGAGCGCAAGAAGGACTGGCAGGGTCTGGACTGGGATGGAGGGGGGAGGCTGTTAGAAAGGTTCGTTTTGGATCTGTGGAATGGGATGTGTGTTAGAGTTCAGATGGCAGTGTTGCGGGTCTGGAGTTTCGCGAAAGGTCCTGGCTGAAGATACGTATCTGTGAGTCATCAGCGCATAGGTGAATTTTAGAAGCATGAGACTCGGTAAGATCACCCAAGGAGTGTGTTCAGATAGGAAAGATTCATCTAGGGGCTGAATTATATAGAATGCAGTAATCTCGGTGGACACGGTTGGGTGTTTAGCGGGCTAGTATTCTGCATGTTTTGTGAGCTACACAGTTGTTGCAGTTGAGCCCTAAAAGCTTCTATAACTGCTCTGGACAGTTTGATGGTCTATTGATCCGATTTTCATTGCTACAGAATCCATTTCTCCGGCTCTTAGTATTTATTACAAATGAATTATGTGTAAAATGGCTATTGAGTTTATTCCCAACGGGCTGCTCTTACCTTCCTCGAAACATCCAACATAAGTATGATTCAGAAATGACTGCTGAACTTCCAAGGAAGTGGGCTGAGATGGTAGAGCAAGCTGTGTTCAGACAGCCATAAGTACAGTAACCACAGGGGATTGCAGTCATTGCCTGGCTACTTGTAGTCAGGAGTCTAAAGAAGAGAATGGGTGTGCAGTCAGATGCTTATGTGCATTGTGTTCTGTGTCCATAAAGAGGGCCTATTTTGGAAAGAGTTTGAGGCTTTATTTTGCCTGTGTGTGGCCCACTCGGCCATACTCCCATCTGCTTTGTATGATTGGGAGCCATTCATTAACTTCCTAGGTGATAAGAATTTTGACTGCCTGATGGTAGACCTGATGGTAGTATGGGGCTGCTGTTTTCATATCTATGTTTAAAAAGTACTTAAAAAATTTTTTAGTGTACAAATTAATGGGGTTTCATTATCTTTTCATATATCTGTGCCATTGTCCTTTGCCTGTATGCAGTCCCCTTTCTTCCTGTCTTTCCTCCTTCTTGGTGGTCTCTTCCCATCCCCTAACAACCTCCCTTTGTGCTTTCATGGCACTATCTCGCATATATGTATATGTATCTGTGTCTATGAAATCCCTATGCGCATTTGACAGAAGATGCAGTGATCTGTCTTCCTCCTTTTATAGCCTCTGAGTTCCTCTCTCCCTCCATTTAGACCATGTCTTTATTATATTTTTCATTGTATTTTTATATACATGTATGCATGTGTGTGTATAAAATTTACATCAAGATCACATATATGAGATGTGAGAGAAAGCATGTTGTATTTGTATTCAGACTCTTATTTCTTTCAGTTAGCAAGTATCTTTAGTTTGGTACAGCTTTCTTATCAATGGCATTATAATATAATTTTAATACAGTTTATGTGTGCTGAGTGGTAGATGTTTTGGAAAATTCCATACAGCCTAGTGTAACTGTGTTGCTGATATCTGAGGATATACACTCTGCTTTGCCCTGTCTGTATATTTATTTAGATTCCCAGTGTCTTGGTCCTAGCTTTTTTGCTATCTGACCTCAAGACTGCCTTTGCACACGGTGGTGATGAAGGTGATGGAGGGTCTAGAGCGCTCGAGATCTGTTTCCATGCCATATATTTTCCCCAGTTAAGAAACTCTTAAGTAGAGGTTGGAAGGAAAATGTTGACACAGCCTTCTTACTAATTGGGGATATTGAGCCATGCCTGCCTCTTCCCGTCTTAGCAATAATCTAAGCTCACTGGTGCTTTTGACTTGAAGGGTAAGACGTGTATAATGGGTTAAAAGTGTTTATCAGAACACTTTTTGTGTGGTCTTTTCAAGTTCTTATCTTTATCCATCCATTGTTGCTGGAGTAATTCCCTTGAACTGTGTAAATGAATGATACGTATTAGACAAGCTTTGGGATCGACCGTGCCCAGCAGCCTTCTCTGAGAGAGAAAATGGCTTCACGCTCCCCTTCCTCCTCCAAACCCTTTCTTCCCCTTCACCGCCAGCTCACTTTTGGTTCTCTGCAGAAATATGAATCCTCAGAAGCCCTCGTCCCCACCTAGGCAGTCTCTCGAATCACCCACGTTCAAACTCATCCAGTCTGCTTTCTTGGGAGGATTGTAAGCTGTGCTCCTGTGTACAGTTGACTCCCCTATCTGTGATGCGGATACCACCCCTGCTCGGTAGTTCCAGCATGCTTGGTTTGCGGTTATTTTTGTAGTCATTCCCCACCGTTCCTATAGCAGCAATCTGCCTCCATTAGCTCATTCTGTTCACTTCTACAGGGCTGAGATAGCCACCCTTTCAAACTTATTTCCACTTTGCACTCCCTTCCACCGAGCCCCCCCCCCCCCCGGGGCTCATCTTTTCTTTGTAGCATTAGTTTTTAACATAACGGTCTGTGCTCCATGATTCACATTGTTCAGTTGGCTCCATGATTCTCACTGTCCCTACTCTTATCAAGACTTCCCAGCATGGCTGTTGTGCCAGGTTCTTTGATCCACTCTAGCGTGTCACCGTTTTGGAATCTCCCCTAGCCTAGGATGCAGCTGCTAATACCTGGTTATTATTTCAGCCTTTCCTCTCTGGCCGTTGGTACAGCCCTAGCTTTCCTCTTCTTCCCCATTATCTTCCGCAGTGCTTTCTGTCTCTATGAAGAAGGAAAAGTAGCTCAGGGTCTGGGCCTTGGTGCTCTTCGCAGTCTATACACGGTCTATAATACACTGGGGTTGTATTATTCTTTTCTGTGGCCTTCAATACCATGGCTCCCAAGTCATGTTCAAATTATGTAGGAGGCATCTTCCTACCTTCTGAAACTCTTTCTCACGGCCTTCAGTGACCCATGTTATGGTCCCCATTGTACACGCAGCTTCATCGTCTCGTCTCCTCGTTGCTTGTTAGCTTCCCACTCTCGACTTCTTACTTTTTTAGCCACCAACTTCTTTCCTGTTCGAAGGCTTTCCGTTATCCCATCACTTGTATGGTGATTCAGTCTAGGTCTTTGCACATGGCTTATACCCTTTCTCCACTGTCCAATGTCTTTCTTCAGAAGTCTTCCTTGACAGTGCCGAGAAACGGAACTTTCTTATCTATCCCATTTTCCTTCTTAGTACTTATCATTAATTCAAATCATATTTTATGTCCCCCAAAGTAATATGAACCTAATAGGGGATAGGGAATGGGTCTTTCTTTCCTGCTAGCCCTCTGACTTAGATCATTGTCAGTAAATTCTCAGTAGTATATTGAGTGACTGAATAAATCGATTAATGGAGGTATGTCGCATACTAATATGTGTGTGTATAATATATATCCCATGTTATTGCATCTTTAGTATTTTTTGAAGGGACAGATAAATGTTTGCTATAATGTAATGGTTAATCGTAATATAAAAGTGTCTGGCCAAGTATGAAGACCCATTTGAAGAGATTTCCTATGAGGAATGCATATGATATATTTTCTTCCTCTTCTCTCTCTTGAAATAAATTGTATTTTCTTGGCCCTTCCCACGCAGCTGAAGAATAAATTTATGAAAAAGCTGCCACGTGATGCAGAAGCTTCCAACGTGCTCGTCGGGGAGGTCGACTTCTTGGATACTCCCTTCATTGCCTTTGTTCGGCTCCAGCAGGCTGTCATGCTGGGTGCCCTCACTGAGGTTCCTGTGCCCACCAGGTAAGCTGCTCTCCCACCCCCAGGGGTCAAGGGTGGAAAGTGCTCTTCCTTTAGGTTAATACACTCAGTGCGTGGGAGAGGTTTCCTTTGAAATGGTGCCTGTTTGGTAATAATAATAGCAATTATATTAATTGATTGGCCCATGTGCTCATTTCTCCTTGGGGGCCATTTCTTTAGTGTGCAAACTCCAGTATTTGTATTTAACAGATGGATACAGTGGGATACAGTGGGCCTAAATACCTTTTCCACATTGATACAATTAGTAAGTGGTTCAGAGGTCACAGATATTTTCATTTCCTCTGTCTTACCAGAAAATTGTTACTGGGCTCACACATATAGATGGACCAACACATAGACGCATATACATATGTAAATATAGACGCTTGTAGAATGTGTCATCTCTCCAAGCATTTAAATTTGCACACGTTACGTTAAGCAAGCCATTGTGCAGTCATAATCGTGTCTATGTCACAATCACACCTCAGTCTGCTGCTCTGTACCCTAGAAGTCATCCTGTTGTCTGTCTTAGGGTTGTCCTTAGTGGGTCAGCTGCTTGACCAAAGCACATGATGAGCTGGAGAGACGCGAATGCCTCACTTAGACTTGTCCCGAGAAGGATGTTAAGGAGGAATTCATAGTTTCAGATTGACATCAGGAAGTCACTGCCAGTTTGGGGGAGGACTGTGCTTCCTATGAATCCCAGGGCAGAGTTAGGCGACTTCTACATGTGAACAGGAAGGGCTGAGTCCCCTCAGTGGACTCAGACGGTCTGAGCATGGTTAACCAACAGTGACAAGAGGTTCAAGGTTTGTTCTGAGCCAGGTTAGGAAGGAAATGAGAAGCCAGTGTTCTGAAGCCCCTTCAGTTCAGCCTCTCTTCCTGATCACGTGGACGAATCCTTCCACTCATCGTTTTTAAATACCTGGGGCAGACATTGGCCGTGTAGCGTTGGAAAGGAGGCCATCACAGCTGTGCAATTAATGGGATTATTGTGATTGGTGTTTTCTGCAACATTCCAGCGGAGCCTTGCAGTTCTGTCTGAGCAATCACCTGGCAAGCTGCTGACTCAGAAGATGGCCGGGGGCCAGCTTGGTGCCCCAGTGGCTTTCTGTGTGTGTCTGCACTAACTTTTGTGGGGCTTGAAAGAGAAAACATGCCGAGAAATGTTCAAGAAAATTGCTCTTACCTTTTCGTTTTTATTACTTTTTTCTTTAGAAACTACAAATAAAAAACATTGGAAAGGCCTTTTGTCTAACAGTGATCCACATACACAAAGTTTGAAGCTGTGACTGTGTGTCTCTTATCATCCCCTCCTGTCTGCCTCATTTTTTTTCTTCGTTCTCTTCTGTACCAGAGGGAGGTATTAATTTAGAGTTGAAATATGGCGTCATCTGGAGAGCAAGAGGAACGAAGCCATTTATTTAAGAGAAGTGAATGGGTGTAATTCAATATCATAAAACTATTTTCAGGATGTAATCTGAAAAATATACCCTTGGATATTAATATTTTTCCAGGAAATATTTTATCTGTTTGCTGCCCTCTGAAGCACGGTAAACTGTAATCACCCAGTAGAGAGTCTCCTTAGCTGTTTTGTTTTGTTCTGTTTGTTTGTGTGTGTGTGTGTGTGTGTATATGTATGTGTGTGTGTGTACACAACACAAGGATGTTTACAGTGGCTACACCCTGTGAAATCCAGCAAAGTCAATCCCAGGAAGAATGTATAGTCACTGTAACAGACCCAGCCTTTGCTCCTTGGTGGACTTTAGCTTGCACACGGTTCTGTTGCTCTACGGACACACGTGCTTCACGTGCACACTATTCTGTTGCTCTATGGGAACATTTGAACAGTCTTTCTTTGCACATGTCTTTCCACGTTTATTTTTCTCGTGTAGAAGAGAGTTATGCTGTGAGTGTTACTATTACTCTTCCTGAGGAACAGTTTTACTGTTCTGGGCCCTCTCAGAAGTGAGGTTCTCAGGTCCCTTTTCCAGCTAAGCTCATGGGGTTCCTTATACTTTGTTTCTTGCGGTCCACTGTGGCCTCTAGTTGTAGCACAGTGGCTGGGAATGGCGGGCTGACCAGGTGTTTGTGTAAAGGTGGCTTTGGCTTTTCGTGTCAAAGCAAACACAGCAGCCTTGGATGTCTGGTGTGTAGGTTGTGTTTGTGATGTTTCTCGAAGGTGCATTTCTTGCTGTCCACTTTATATCCATTCACAGAGCCGTATGTGGGAACACTTTTTTTTCTTATTACCATTTAGCAGCCTTGGAATTTGGGCAGTAGAAAGATTTGCTCTTCATGCTAGAGGGAGGACTTCACATTTCTGACATTGTGCCCAAAGCTCAGGGCAACTTCAAGAGGTATCTAGAATGGGTTATGAGAAGACGCTTCAGGACAGTAAGAAGTAGTAACTATAAATCAGTTTGTCCCTTTTAGTTCTTGATCTAAGACTAAAGCTAGTATGTGAGCTTTAGTTATCTAAATATTATAATACTTGTCTCTGTAACATTTTATAAGTTAGCACATATTGCATGTTGTAATCACCTCATTAGTATGAGAAATAGCCTGTACTTAATCATTTAACAACATTACAATATTTTACAATACTGTTCGGGACGGTATTCCTGCTATGGATTCTGTCTGTGTCCTGCACTGAACATAAGGCAATGGTGATGGGGCGTGGTCCCCATGAGTAGATTGTGGAAGCTACAAGTTAGCCACGTCTTCCAAAGCTGCTCCTTTGATCACGGCCTATGTATTCATTGACATTTCAGAGAATGGAGTGAGGGATTGCTGCATGCTGGGTTTTTTCTAGAAATAGTTGTGATCTATCAGGAAGGGGGCACATCGCTTCTGAAAAGACCGAGTAGCTTAGGCAGACTGCCTCCTTTTCTGAGACTGTGCTCACTCTACCTGTAATTATTTCTGAATGTGAGTATAGGCCTCTGGTTTCGGCCACGCATCACCTGGTGTTTCTTCCGGTTGTGAGGGATGCCGGAGGTATCCTCTGGAGGCATGATTAGTTACTTGAAAACCTCACAAAAGTAGGAAGGGGACTTCTGGAGAGGACTAGGAACCATTATAAATCCTGGCTCTGACATTTGTAGTTGTGAGGGAATAGACCAAACCCAGCAACATGAGTTCACTGTTTTATTTTTCCCTGAGCTGTCAACATGGACTGTTCACTTCCAGCCACACCAATGTGATGTTTACTCCTAATTTGTTAATAAAGAAAAAGGCTTCTGGTTAAAAATAACATCTGTCCATTGACAAAAGCCAGCTTGTGTCATAAAAGGAGTTCCAGTACATTATAAAAGCTGAGTTTGGCAGGATGCACGTCCGCCGTAGAAGCTGTAACAGCTTTCGCTCCTTTGATGGTGGAAGGGGGGCAGGCATTCGGCAGAGGGAGCTTCGGCTTTCCAGGCTTGCTCCCAGATGTGGTTGCCGCCGGCCTTGCATCTCCCCATCTTCATTGCAACAGTGCTGTGGATTAGAAGCTGCTTCAGCTCTCTGTTCCTACAGATGAAACTCTTAACTTACAGTGATAGCCCCATGATGCCGCTCTGCCCAGAGTTCCTCCTGCTGTCCTTTCAGGGCGTAGATCTCTGAATCGTTCCTAACTGAAATAACAAAACTTTTAACTCACCGTGTTGCTTCTTCTTGGCACTTATTGATATTTTTCTAATGAAGAAATGTCTTTTTTTATTTTAGCCTAGACACATTTCCTCCTGGGTTATTGATCCAATACAATTCACTTACTGTGGCTTATTGTTATAGTCTATATTATATCTACCATTAGCCTACTACTTACTCTCGTTCTTTGGTCTTATTGAGCAAAGACAGAGCAGCCAATGCTATATAGAAAATGTATGCTCTTGTGCTAAATGGTGGCTCCTTTACTCTGTCAGCTCTTAGACCTATCCTCTGCTTAACGTTGCATTTGAGGAATATTTGTGATGTAAAGTATTTCCTCACAGAGAACACAGTATTTATTTAGGTTTTATTGACATGTTTATCAGCTGATGGTGAATCCAGGTATCAGTTTCCAGTGGGCAGAGGAGGGTTCAGCAGGCTGAATTCACACGGGGGTACTGGAGAGAAGGGGGGAGATACAGTGTGGTCCTGAGAAGGTTTTAATGATTGCACCTTGTCTGAAACGTTAATATTTAGATACATGGAACCAGTAAAAGGGTCAGATACAGTGTGGTCCTGAGAAGGTTTTAATGATTGCACCTTGTCTGAAACGTTAATATTTAGATACATGGAACCTGTAAAAGGGTCAGATAAAGGAAACCCAGGAAGGATGTATTAAACAAAGGAGCCAGTGTCCCGACATTTTTCCTTTATGCTACTATACCTGTCCATTTAGCCTAACGCTGCCATTTCTGTCATTGTGACGTGGTGGTTTATAGACAGGCAAGCAGAACTGGCAAATGTAACCAGTACTAACTTAAATTTAAGTTCTTTTCTTAATGGGACCTCACTTTAGTGGCTAAATATTTTTGCATGTGTTCTGCTAAGAATAGTGACCACTCCCTTTAGGCCCAAACCAAACCAAAACAGTACTTTACTATCAAGAAAAAGAACGTTGTGGTGCCTCACTGCTGTACATGAAGTGTTAACTCCAGGGGAAAAAAATTCCAAGCATCAGTGGAAGTGTTGGAAGAGCTAAAGTACAGGTCTACTAGGGATCAGTTGAGCAGACTTCAGAATTGCCAATCGCCTTTGCTGTTCCTTCACCGTGGCAACCTTTGACAGCGAGTCTCGCCTCCACCACAGGGCGGGTTCTGAGCAAATAAGTCCTGGATGGTTTTATGATTGTTCTGATGACAAAAATCTGAGCATTCAAACTTTGGAGGACATTTGTTGCAATCATAACTCCCCGTCCTTTTTATTTCCTTATCTTCTTTGGAATGGATTTTGCAACCGAAGAAAAGTCCTCATATGCTTAGGACCGTTTTAGAATCGATGGTGACATTTATTTAAATCCTTTTCTTTTTAAAGTGAGTCAGGGAACTAAATAAATGAAAGTAAAAGTCAGTGAGGTAAGCTGCTAAACCGTTCCTAGTGCCGCCAAATCTTATCTACTCTTCCTTGTTTCTGGCTAAGTAAGAATCCACAATCCTTTTCCCAAGAGGGACCTGTGAAAGTGATTACTGGATAGATTTTGTCTACTGAATCACAGCCTCAGCGCATCAGAAGGGGTGTGTGTGTGTGTGTGTGTGTGTGTGTGAGAGAGAGAGAGAGAGAGAGAGAGAGAGAGAGAGAGCGAGAGAGAATATGTGTGTGTGCGCGCACACACACAAAGTTGTTAGGGAGGAATGGGACATAAGATGCCCCTTCCCACAGTCTTCCCTCTCCTGATTTTGTTTCAGTATTGGAGGTTGAACCAGCATGTGCTTGTAGCTATGTGCTCTGTCCTCAGCCTTGTCCTTATGGGCACAAACCTTGGTCTCACCTACCATCTTCCCCACCCTCAGATTCCTCAGTGCTAAGCAGGATGAGCTCTGTTTTGCAGAAGGTTGTGTGGGAATTTAAATCAGGTGGTGAATGTGCTTCGCAGGCTCTGGGAAGCTGTGCAAACATATGATGCTGTTGTGTGTGTTGTCTTCGTTTTCTCCCTGTTAGGTAAGATGTGAGCAACAGCAAGGCAGGGAGTATCCCAGCGTCACCTTTTGCACATCTTTTTCTTATTCATTTACTTACCGTGTTCCTTCTTCCTCAGTGGAGACTTATGTCTTTATCTTCCATGGTGAGCAAGGGACTACTTCCAAAGTGACAGCTTCATCTCTATTTATTTCAGGACATATTTGCTCTGAAGCAATACTTTCTATGTTACCAAGAAATTAAATTTGGAAAGGAAAGTGAGGCAGCCCCAAAGGCTGTGGATGGTGCTTTTGTCTCTCTCTCTCTCTCTCTCTCTCTCTCTCTCTCTCTCTCTCTCTCTCTCTCTCTCTCCCTCCCTCCCTCCCTCTCTCTCTCTCTCTCTCTCTCTCTCATTTCTTTCTCCTTCTTTTCAGGGCTTACTTGGGAAGGTTTGGTTTTCACTTAATCCCACTCATCTGAATAGCAACACTTCCTAAAATATGGAGGAGAGCATGTATTTCAGCCCATGCTGGGTGCGGGAAAGTCAGAGAAATCAAAAAAATAGACTAAGTCTTTGTAGTTAATTTGTACCACGGATCCCAAAGTCAGTAGAAATGAAAACAACAGACCATTTAAAATGTCGAGATCAGCAAACTGTGACATTTATATGTAAACCTTTTCCTGCTCAATGAAGAAAAAGCTTTTAGGTTTCTGTTATGCCTTCAGATTAACTCAGTAATGCCACGTGGAAGTGGAAAAGAATGGCTTTCCTGTCCCTTAGCATCAGATCTTTCTTTATTTTAAAGGTGAGTTCTAGAGGCGAGGTAGATCACTCAGTCCTGTAAAGTCTGTTTTACAAACATGAGACCTCAAATTCTGGCCAACAGCAGTGTAACAAGCCAGGTGCAGTGGCGTGTACCTGCAATCCTAGGGCTGAACAAACAGAGACAGGAGGACCCCTGGCGCTTGCTGGGCTGCTAGTCAGGCTACGTCTGTGAGCTCCAGGTTAAGCGAGGGACCCTGTCTCCAAAACTAAGGGGAAGAGCGACTCAGGAAGACAGCTGGCCTGTGGCTTCCTCAGGCACACACACACATGCACGTACTTGGGCACACGCATAATACAGAGGGTCACTACAACTGAGCTTGTCATGGATTAAAGAAAACAATTTCTTCATTTAATGCAATGTTACAGCCTTTGCTTCTCTCCTTCTCCATTAGGTTCTTGTTCATTCTCTTAGGTCCAAAGGGGAAAGCCAAGTCCTACCACGAGATTGGAAGAGCCATCGCCACCTTGATGTCTGATGAGGTAGGGAAGCGGGGCAGGGGGATCCGGGATCATCTTGATTGTATCTGTCTAAACTGCCAGTTGACTGCCATGGTTCATTACAGTTATAGTTATGTGGCTCTTGACAGAATGACACTCAGTCATTTGTGTAAAATGAGCTCCCTTATGTAGAGTAGCTTCCAACAAGTAAGGCCTGGGCTTTGTTTTTGTGTTAGAGTCTAACACAAAATGCATTTCCTTCTTTTTTTTTCTAAGCAAACCTATTTAGAAACTATTCTAAATTTCTTCAAAATGAAATAAATGAATATCATTTGGTTTTCCTATTTCTTGGTTGCTGTGCGATGTTTTAATTCAGTTATACACTTTGGAATACTCTGAGGCACAGTAGAGCAATAATAATTAAGAGCAATTGACTGTATATTGCAAAAAAATGGCTAACAAAGAGGATTTTGAGTGCCAACACCAACACCAACAAATTGTTACTGTCTGAAGCAACCAATATGCAGGTACCTTGTTTCAATCCTATGGATTTTCAGTTATTAAAACTGATGTTGAAGTATTGCTGAATAAGATCAGAGTCATCATCTTAACTTTATCTCTTAAAATGTCTAATTTATCAATTTTCTGAACTCATGTCCCTATGCTATATTATTTCAGAAATGATGACTTTTATAAAATAATGTATAATAAATTAGGTGATGCATTTCTCTTATGCATCAGAATGTATTTGTTTTTATGGTTTATGTCTGGTGGGGAGGTTAATCTATAGTGCATCAGGTACTTTGGGCTGACATTGCATCCACACTTACAGCAGCTTTCGTAGTGATAAGCATATTTAGTTGTGAGAAAAGTCTGAGCTAGTCTTGTAGTGGGAGAAATGCTGTTGGAACATGAGAACGTCAGTTTGTGCTTTCTAGTCTTTCTACTTGGCTGTTTCTCAAGTATTTTACTCTTGTGCCATGCCCCAATTTGTCGGATTTTCCTGTTGAGTGTAGAGGTGGAGGCTCTGTCCCCCTGGGGTATGGAAGTTCTGCCTGGCTCTTCAGCTGTTTGCTTTCCTCTGAGGGCAAGAGTGTGGCGCACAGTTCTGCTGTCTCCCTCAAGGATACATTTAGTCCTCATTGTAGTTGGGTGGTTTATTTAATTTGGGGGGTTTAAAGATCGTTATTTTCTTTTAAAGTTCTTACCTGATATAAATTAGGGATGCTTTAGGCCCGCATGCAATGGGCACAGAATGGCTTTGTGATATTGATGAGGGTCTCTTTCACCAGGCGTCTTACAGCTTTTCTTTTCTTACATCTCATTGTTTGAAACCTACCAATATTTACTGGCCAGCTTGGCTGGGGAGGTATATTTCTGACTCTTATCTGCCAGAGAAAATTAGGAGAGAGAGGGTTATGTCTGCTGTGGAGGAAGTCCTTCCCCTGTAGATTGCCTTCTGCTCTACCCCAGAACTCCCAAACCAGTGTTACTTGCCTGACAGCTCTTAAAAATGGTTTTCTGGGAGAAGCAATGCAGTAGAAAGTCTCAGCATAGGTTGAGGGTGTTGAGTGGGGACCATATTCTTTTTTGGATGATTAAAAATAATATTAACTTACAAAGTATTGGAGGTTTGACTTTGTGCAGACCTTCAGGTCAGCTCAATGAGAAGAATGGGTGCCGAGAAAAGGGGTTCAGTGCCATTTTGGAAGCCCTTCTCTGATGTGAGCCAAAGATGGGAAACTTCTGCTGTCTGTATGAGTTTCCTTTATGTCGCCGTGGTAGAACAACGTGATCGAGGCAACTTATAGAAAAATGGAAAAAAAAATAGGCTTTTATCTCCATGGGATAAGAGTCCATCACCACTTCCATGGGAAGGCATGGTGGCAGGTGGCAGTTACGGGAAGCTAAGAGCTTGTATCATCAAACTCAAGCACAAAGCAGAGAAGAAAACTCGAAATAGAGTGAGACCTTAACATCTCAAAGCTGCCCCCTGTGGCATACTTCTTCCAGAAAGACTACACCTCCTAAACATCCCTAAACAGCACCACCAACTGGAGACTAAGTGTTCAAATGCCCAAGACAATGAGGAATATTTATCATTCACTCCCACCCCCACTACCTTTGGTGAAGTAGATATTACCTTGCTAAAAGGGAGGCAGATGGGCACTTATTTATTCCTTTCTGCTAATATAACCCAGGCTTTCTTCTTCCTTTTAGATTAGCTCACATGGTGAGGGGGCAGCAGTGAGTGAGTCTCATCCTGAGTCTAACAGTCAGCATGAGCTTGTTTTTACTGGATTTCACAGTTGGTTTTCCAGTCATTTTTAATTCAGGGAATGGCCTTCAGTAGGGATCTTGAAAATGTTTTCATCTGACTCTCACAGCCATTGGGAGAATTTTGATGAAAAAAAAATACTTAAAATTCCCTGTCTTCAAGCCTCTGCTTTGACACTGAGATCATAGCCTGTACCCCTCAATTGACTGAATAGAGGGGAAGATGAGAGTGGAGTTAAGGGGATGCCAGAGTGTTCTGTGGGTTATGTTACTCATCTGTGATGTGTTGGGAGCCATTCAGAAAGTTCCCTCGGTTGATCAGCGCATCTCTCGCTATTCAGGTGTTTCATGACATCGCTTACAAAGCAAAAGATCGGCACGACCTGATTGCTGGCATTGATGAGTTCCTAGACGAAGTCATTGTCCTTCCACCTGGGGAATGGGACCCAGCAATCAGGATAGAACCTCCAAAGAGTCTCCCATCATCTGACAAAAGGTAAGCAGCTATGTGCTTGGCAATATTCAGGGAGTGCCAAGCCCTGAGGAGGTTGCATTTGTAAAACAGGTAGGGCCATGTTTTGATAATTGTAGCTCTCTGCAGACATTCTGCCTCAAATGAGTTTCGGCTATGCCTTGGCTTAGATTGACTTGACACTGGAGGGTAAATGCCAGATGCTCTGATGCCCTTTAGTGCCTGATGTTGGAAAGTGTCAATCGGTGTTCTTTGGGGGACGTTTTGGGGACTTTCTGTCTGTGTCTGTGGAAAGATCACTCTACTCAAGAAGAGCCCTTGTAGACTTAGCAGGTGAAGCAGTTTGGTAGAGAAATTGAAAAGAAACCATTTCCTGGAAATCTGTCATTGCCCAGGTGAAACTGTTTTGTTCCTATAAATGTGAAATAAGTTAAATTCCGTTCACTCAGCCATTTGTCTCGCCTGTAGATAGAACACTTCAAGAGTTGTCTGTTAGCAAAGAATAAGAAATCACGCTATTTTTCTGAGAAGGCCTCTCTCTGTGTGTGTTTGTCTATAAGCATAATACAGCCATGGAAGCAAATGAACATGATAAACTAATCTCTACTTTCACCCGTTGTCCTTCATAGAAAGAATATGTACTCGGGTGGAGAGAATGTTCAGATGAATGGGGATACACCTCATGATGGAGGACACGGAGGAGGAGGACACGGTGATTGTGAAGAGCTACAGAGAACTGGCCGGTAACTGATGGAACCTTTTGCCATTCGTGATAAGGTTTTCCTTAGATCTAAATTTCCCTTCCTTGTTCTGCATTCACTTTCAGTATTTCATTTACTGGTTTGTTCATCTGTTCAGCCAACAAATACTCGTCACAGCAGCTAGAGAGTCACCAGTGTATCATTGCTGGCCATGTGGCTTTACTGTGTAGAGATGGATGAGAAATCTTAAGCAAATGAGTAAATGGACCAATGGGTTTATGAGGAAAATGAAGCAAGAAAAGGCCCTTGGTTGATAAGAAGTAGTATATTTTTAGACAGAGGGATTGGAGTGGGCCTTGTGGCTAAGGATAACATTCAAGGGAAGTATGAAAGCAGGTGAGAGACAGTCTATATGGGTGTGAGTTAGGAAAGGGGACCGAGGCACGGAGCACCTAGGAGACTTTGGCGTCTAGACAGTGTGGCCAGTGGACCAGCTGGTAGGATGATGTAAAGGTTGTGTTGACGGCAGGTGAGGATGGGTAGTAGGGCTGACTGAAGACTGACCAGGCTTCCTGTGTGGCTCTCCTCATTCCATCCCTTCCCTGAACATCTGCTCCCAAGTGTGTAACAGGCTGTGGAAAGGGGTGGCCTGTGGGTCCCTACCCCATCTCCTTGTCCTCAGTGAGGCTTCTGAGTCTCGAGAACCTTTCATTTGACTTCTCATTGTGATCCCTTCTCTGTTAGTAGATGATCTTTTTGCATTTCGAGTTAAGTGAAATTTTTCATAGGATGCTCTTTTCATGGAGATGTGGAAATCTCTGCAGGATTAAAAAAATGTCATTTTAGTATGCCATTGAATCTGAATGAAATCAAATTGTTTCCTTCTGCTGGTGACCCACTTGCGTTTCTCTCATAAAGTGAAAAAGAACTATTTCCCTTCTGAAAGACTGAAGGATAAGAACCTCCCAACCTTATGTATTGCCTGATGATGTGACATAGTCTAGATCTCTCTTTACGATATTTGGACATCAGGCAAACATCTTGGCTTACTTACAGAAATCTAAAGGCATTAACCAGTTGTTCAGTGTGACCTCTTGATATAGCCAAATGATAAGATAAAGATGGCACTATGAGGCTATTGCCAGCTTAACAGGGAGTATTGTTTTATATACACTTATGTTTATAAGTAGAAAGAGTATGCACTAAAGTAGCAATAAAAGCTATAGTGTATCAAATGTACGGACTGCTAACAGCTATGTATACATGCAATTATATGCTTTTATATACCTCCCTGTAGAGTAGGTTTACTTAAGGCAGCATAGCACCATGGCATCACAAGGAGAGATTCTTACTGGAGAACACTATCGAATCTAATGGTGCCCCAGCCCCATCATCACCGTATGAGACCATCATCACATATGCAGTCCATCATAGATCTCAATGTCATTAACCAGTGCCTGCCTGCAGTTCTTTATGTTTTTATGACAAGGAATAACCCTGTCACTTCCAGCTTACAGCTGAGATAGGAGTTATGGAATTTGATATTTTGGAATCCATCCAACTGTTGTTTTAGTGTCTCATCTCCCCATTTTCCACATTCATTTAGTAGCTGCATAACCCACTGTCTATCAAGGATACAGAAGCAGGGTACTCAGCACAGCTGAGAACAAGGTGGCAGGCTTTAGGGAGGGGCGCCTTGCACAGACGTCACACCCTGCACGAGGAAGGCTGCTTCAGAGGTTCTGGTGGAAGACGAGCAGGCTGGTGCATGGGCTCTGCCCGTGTCTTTGCCTTCCATACACCTGTATGCCTTCTTCACTTTGGGTCCTTGTTTCAAATTCACTTTCTCAGAGGCCCAATGCTTTTCCCCTAGAACCACGGAATTCCCACCTCCATTTCATTTCTCCTTGATTTTTATTTGCTTACTTATTTATCTTGCCCTCTGCTCCCAAGAGGAAACTCCATGAGGTCAGAGCTTCAGAGCCTGTGTGGTTCAATGTTGTGTCCCCAGGAGAGAATAATGGCAGAGTGAGTGCATCTCACAGGTCTCCATAAAATGACATTATGAGGCCTTATGAGGTGTGCACTGTCTTTGGAGAATGGAAAACTATAATTTATCTACTCAGTGCTGTCGTCTAAAGAACAACGGGATGATCTTTGGGGAATGTTAGACCTATTCTGGTAACTGAAAAGAGACAGACAGAACAAGATGAATGTCTCCACGTTGTTTTTTTTTTCTTCCCTGTCTCATCTAAATGAGAGCATCTTATATAGTTTCTTGTCATTGTCTCAAGCATTTAAAGTCCAAATTCTTTGCAGCTTTGTGAATTACGTCTTGATGAACTCGACGGCTGTTTCTCTTATACTGGATCACATGTTTGCTTTCTCCCGCCCCAGGTTCTGCGGTGGATTAATTAAGGACATAAAGAGGAAAGCACCATTTTTTGCCAGTGACTTTTACGATGCTTTAAACATTCAGGCTCTTTCGGCAATTCTCTTCATCTACCTGGCAACGGTAACCAACGCCATCACTTTCGGGGGCCTGCTCGGGGATGCCACCGACAACATGCAGGTGGGTCTGATGTGAGAGAGGACGCAAATAGTCCGGCGCCAATTGTCCCTCTCACCCCTGCCGCTCTACGAGCAGCAGATGGCCTCTCAGTTGCTCAGCGTGATTTTTCTTTCTTTTGCTGGATGCTGCATTTTACTGCGCTTCTGGCTCGCTGCTGTATTTCCAGCATGTTAGTAATTACAAAAATAGCTCGATGAAATCTGGCTTGAGTCACAAGTGGGGAAAAGAAGGGGAGGAAATGAGAATCTACAATTCTATTTGGGCAAAAGCGTCTCAGCTGCTCGGGTTCTGTGTGGTGCACAAGGTTGAGAGCTCCCTGGATCTGGAATGTCTGGGCCACATTTGGTTTCATTTGGTGCTCACACTCTCTGGGGATGTGTGATTACCTGACTCTTTGCCCCTGGCCTAACGTGAGCAAATCCATGTATCAAGCAATGGAGTGGTTTGCCCAAGGCTGGATTTGCTTGCCTGCCAGTAGAATTCAGCTTTAGCAGAGCTGTTTCTTCTACTCCTGGACTGTCTCTCACTGAGCTGTAAGGAACCTGGCTGAGTTAATGTTATAACATTAATTATAACCACAGTTTGTTGGTTATGAAAGGTGGTGTTTGCCTTTCTTGCACATCAATAATTGCTACAGTTTTAATAAGAGAAAAGATGCCATAGACCGCTAGCCCAGTCAATTAGAGCACCGTGTGAAGAAATGACTTAAAGTTGATCTTGGCGTTAGAAACAGTAGGCATCCTACAAGTTACTGAAGGCACAGGGAAGGGAGCTGAACCCAGTTGAAGCCCTTCCGAGCTCCGCCCTTCCAAACTCCGCTCTTGCGCTTGCTTGCCCATGTGTTCAACATGGCATCACATGTGCCGCCGGCCAACTTCTTGGTTTGTAAATGTAGCTAATTCCCGCAAGTTATTTTCGTTACATTTCTTCTTGGACTCCAGTAAATATTTTTGTTCTAGAGAGTCCTTTCTAGACACAAAGATAAGATAGAGATGATACCACTTTTGTGGAATCAAGTATGGGGAGGGGTGGAATTACACAATCAAATTTTAGGTCAAGAATGCTTATCTATTATATAAAGCTACCGTTTTCTATCACATTTCCTGGTTGTGGCGGTTGATGGGCTCAGCTGATGCTTCTTTCTTTCCCCTTCACACACATCAGGGTTAGATGGCGACAGAGTTTGAAGTTGTCTGATGGCTTCTCCTCCAAAATGCCTAGGCTAGAGTGTCTGAGGCAGCTGGGTTCTAGGGACGCTCTACATGACTTCTCTACAAGAATAGCTTGGGCTTCCTCCCAGTGTAGGGACCCTTAAACGCTGAGGCTTCTGGGAAAGAGGCAAGTACCACGTGTTGTTTCTTCTCATGTGGTTGTGTATGGAATGTTGCTTCGTTTTCTGACGTTCAAAGGCGCACTGAAATCCATACTCGATGACAGCTTGTAGCCCTCAAGTATTGCCATTGCTTAGCATTTGAGAAACTACCATTTTGCTGGCCAGAGAACACGAATCTCTCTGTCACCCCCGGCATGGGATGCAGAGACAAGCCGAAGTACAGGAAGGGAGTTTTGCTGCCATCCCTGCCATGGGTATCCCCTTTCCTAAGACAGGGATGAACATCTGAACTGTAGCAGGAACACAGTTTTCATAAGCTCTGACCTAGATTAAAGCCGGGCAGCAGTTCATCCAGGTTCCAACACGCTGCTCACGTAAAGCGAATCATTTAGGAAACCAGCAGAAAAGAAAGGACTGAGGAAGCACCTTGAGGCCAGCATAAAGCTGGCCCATACAGCCATGTGCCAAGAAAAATCAAAGAAAGCGGTGGCATTTATAAAATGTATTTGTAAGGACTTCAGCTTTTTATTAGCCCCCTCCCCTTGTTATATAAATAAACATTTTACTGTTAAACACCTATTATATTACTGGCTCTACCTTTGCTTTTTTTTATTGAGAATTTCAGAAGTACATACATTGTATATTGGTCAAAGTCATCCCTTCCTCATCTCAACCCCTCCCAGATTCACTGCTGCTATGCACTCCCCACCCCCCAACTTTGTGACCTCTATCTCTAGACCCAGTTTGTGCTGTCTTTTTACTCAGGTGTGGAGCCAACTATTGAAGCATGGTTGGCCTACCAGCGCTCACTTCCTTAAACGCAACTGACTCTCCCTACCCCGGTCCATAATGATTCACAATCTCCCTCCACTGTGAGCAGCTCCTCCCATGGAGGCTCCTGCATCCTCCTGTCTCCGTGCTAGCCTATTGGAAGGCTTGACCTAGTACAAGTAGTAAGTGGGCAACTGCAGCTGCACTGGGTTCCTGATTTCAGCAGTCGTGGTTTTTTTTTTTTTTTTTTTTTTTTTTTTTA